GTATTCAATTTGTCGGCACGGCCAGGTGTGTTTTAGGACGGAAGACGTTATATATACACATATATATTTACATTTAGTGTAATTTTCTTTATGAAATCCTTTAGAAATCCATGACGTTCAAATCTCTGTAACACACGCGAAACCTTGTCACCGCGGGTTGGAATACACAGTAGGAACTATATGCCTTTTTAATACTTTATGAACACCAAAATATACATTATTTGACACAATTTAATTTTAAAAAATAACACTGACGAATTCACGTAAAACTACAAAAAATGTTCAATTAAAATTAGTTTGCCACTTTTTCTCCTCGCAATGTTTTTTTTTAACGTTATTCAAGTTTACGACGTCACAAACGTCACAAACCGTTCTTACGTCTTTAAAGCACAAAAGTTTTTTAAGCGCGCTAAATTCACATCAAAGATTACCGAAATAAAGAATTACGAGGATGAAAAATTAAAGAATGTAAATATAAGCATTAAATTCATATTTTGGGATGTCTTCGGTCCTATAACACACCTGGCCGTGCCGACAAATTATCATACCGCGCTAACGTCGTCGACTTTATCTTTAATTGTCGAGTTGAAGGCCACAGCAAGTATTTTCTTCTTTTCACGCATAAGGTTTTGCACAAATTCAGCTTCATATGAATACAAAAATAGTTCTGAATAATAACCAATAAATGCAAAACATATATTTGAGGAACGTTTCGTCTAACCTTAAATAAGAGGGGAAAACACTTTCTATGAATCGTTTGCTGATATCTGTTATTACATTTGGAGCTTTTAAAAGTTAACATAAAGGTGTTTTGTTTGAAAAATCACATTTATTTTATATATTTTAAGACCTCAGTCACATATCATAAACTTCACTAACATTTGAAAAATTATTCAAGGCTTCTTACTCCACCATTCCGTCAAAAAAATAGTCCCTGTTCGATTTCAAACTCTAAATATATAAGAGATATAAGCAAATATTCATTGAATGCATTGAATATCTAGTCAGAAACTGGAAAAGGAATCCTACCTTTAGAACAATTCAACAAAATATTTTTCTGTATTATAGAACGCGGAGATTCCAGCATTGCACAAATTTTTGCTGCTGTTATTGGTGGATTCGTGTTGGGGATTCTGACATGTCTTGCAGCTGTCAACGTAATACATTTACGGAGTGGGAGAAGGGAGCAAAATCGGTAAACAACGAAATTTTTGTGATTCCTAAGAGTAGTACATGTTAAAGTACATATTATACGGTGTAGGTTTAGATATATATAATAGCTACTTCGTCAAATGTTTTATCATGAAATTAGATTTCGGTTTATATCATTCTTTTATGCTTCAAAAAAATTATATACCTTGATTTATCCAATTACATGTAAGTTTGTTTACATTTTCTTCAAAATTATTATTCCAGAAATACTGAAACAAAATTGGTCAACAACATCTGCTTCGGAAAAGAATTGCCAATAAATATTCAAACGGGATAGGGGAGAAATATTGAGATCCATGTAGTGTAAAACTAGAACTTATTTTACAAATCTGTTTATGAAACTTTCGCTTAAATGACGTTTACCGATACTTTATATTGTTAGGCATAACAAATTTAATATCTCAGAGCAAATTTTCTTCAAAATTTACAATATCTCATCAGCGATTGTTTTAGCTTGCATTGCTTGTAATAACAGGTAACCTTAAGAAATTTCTTAAAATTTCATTCCTGAAAAAAGTTTGTTTTTTATTCATTTCAGAAAATTTCTCACGTGAAACCTATCATCAAAAGGGATCCAGAATATTCCAATGCACATCAAGTAAAATCAGAAACTAACGATATTTACAATCATCTAAATGAAAAATAGGAAAATGACGCTATAGATGTTTATGACCATGCCGTAACAGATGCCTCTAGGATGTCAAATGAAGAAGAGTATACACATCTGAGTAGATGATCAGGGCAGTCAACCCATCCTCAGATCTTCAGACTAGATTTGTTCGCATAGTGACTTATTGCTGTATCAAAAACTCCTGAAAATTTACATGACTTCTTTACCTTTGGAAAAAGTGGAATAGAAAAAAGCTCTTTCAAATATACGTCTTACAATTTTCATGATATGATGTAATTCTTATTTTTAAATCAATTGTAGCTTACTCGAGCTAAATAGTTATGCTAGCTTTTGCTGTACACATATCCTTAGGGGTTCATTTTCCATATGCTTATATACAATGTACATATGTATACATCTGCATGTCCTTCAGTTGATCTCTCTGTTTTTCTTTAATATATCTTCAGTAACAGGGACTCAATTTTGCTTGATTTAAGTGAAATGCCTTAATCAAACGGGACCTATTTTTGAACTAGTTATTTAAAATAATTACTGATTGAAATAACTGTGCCACTTTGGAATTTATTGCGAGGTATAGATATCGCAATATTATTTGTAAGTTCCATATATTTTACATTGTACATTTAATTTTTATATGCCCGGATCGATAGATCAAGGGCATATATTCTTTTTGCTCTGTCTGTCTGTTTGTTTATCTGTTTCTTTGTTTGTTTGTCTTTAAACTTTAACCTTTTCACCATAACTTTTGAACCATGAAAGATAGAGACTTCATTTTTGGTATGCATACTACTAATTAACCTCTTTCAAATGGCACCAAGGTCAATGACCTTGTGACCTTGACTGTGGCCTATATGCTAAAAAAGTTTTTTTTCTGCAAATTTAAATTTTCTCCATAACTTTTGAACCATGAAAGATAGAGACTTCATATTTGGTATGCAGACTTCAATAATCAGGTTCTTCCAAATGACACAATGTCAATGACCTTGTGACCTTGACCGTAATGCTAAAAATAGCTTTATCTGAAATTTGTTGCCACCAGGCGCAAAGTGTTTCACAAACACATCTTGTTGTACATATAATACTGGTAAAAATATTTATTTGTGAGAATTGCGCGTCTGTCCTTTTTCATTAGGGATTCAGAGTGTTTTTTTTTTAAATAATCAAGATGATCATTATGTAAAAGAAGACGTTTTGAGTGTTCTATTTATGGGGTACTTGTTTACATTTTGTCAGTCATATTCAGTCAAAATTTGTTCAGTCAAGTTAATTTTAAGTTCAACTTTCTCATCCAATATTGATTTTTTCATATCCTGATGAACAGTCGTAGGATAGGCAAAAGTGTGCTTGCTAATTTTACACAGGAAATTTTTGAACATTTGTTCTAAAGAATAACCAAAGCAATGATCTTTTATTCTTGAGTATTTTTGATTCAATTTCGTTGAACTTGTAATTCACTTGTCGAGGACAGCAATTAGATAGACCATTTATCTTCAAGGAACATATATTAACACGCGTTCTGAGAGTTTTACATTACATGTAGCAATTTTAATGTCGTACCAGCAATTCTTTCCTTTAATAAATTGAAAATGCAATAATTTGATAAAATGTTGCTCGTCCATTGCAGCCCCACCCTACAGAAGAGGGTTATGAATTGAATAAAGTTGAATTCATACTGATTGAGGCTGCTTCCAAATAAAATGTATTATATACCACCATGGCTTTCCTTTTCTTGAAAAAAAAAATTTTCCCTTTAAACTCACTTGTAAAACGTCCATCGTTGTCCAACCATAGCCCTTGGGGTTAAGATTTTACAAAAAATGAATCTACACTCTCAGACTTATTTGATTAATCCCTGGGGTGCCTAGAGCCACATTTCCTATCAATGCTGTTAACCAATCATCATTCGTGTCATTTGTTATAAGCAATTCGTCAGTATAAAAAGAATCCGTTTCGATTAATTTTCTAGACTGAGGATACCTTCCCTGTCAATTAATATAAAGAAAAATAAATGTTCACAGTCATAATGTTTCGCAAATTTAAGAACGTCGCCACTATATAGCGTAAATTTCTCGTCCGCGAATAATGTTGGCTGACAGTAAACATGACCAATATTAGCTTTTCTATGTTTGGGACGATTTTTTCTGTTATAAAAAAGAGAATGTCAAAACTGCATTTCACAGTCTTGATCAATTATGAATTATGATTTGATTTTCCTAGTTAGATTTTTTTGACAGTCAATAATGGCCTCACCTCACTTAGGGGTCAAGATTTAAACTAATTTGATTTGATCTGAGGATGTTTCTATAATAACATGACAGCTCATGACATTAATGTTATTGAGAAGAAGATTTAACTTTGTACATGTATTCATATGTAAAAGTTTTTGTCCTCCATAACAATCATACCCGTACCCTGTGTTTAATAGATATTGATCTGCCCTTCACCTCTACTATATAATTGTGCTTTTTCTTGTTTATGAATTTAGAATGAATAGTTTGTAATTTTTTTTCTATGATCCTCCTTTACTTAATGTTCAAATGATTTTGAAATTGTTATACATATACTGTACAACTGATTGATTTATATTCGTTAAACCTATGAACTGCATGGTACTTGGTAATAAACAATACAATACAATACTCGGCACTCAGAACTATTGAGCAATGAGGGATCTTTATCGTAACAACGACTGCCTCTGATACGGGGTCTTGGTTTATAAGGTCTCATCCGACGGACCTGCAACTTTCACTTCAAAGTGCCGAGCGCATGGGGAAGGAACGGTAGCTTCCCATTCTTTATCTACCTAGGTCAGTCGCGACCAAAATTCGAACTCACGACCTCCCGATTCCGGATCACCAGATCTACCGACTGAGTTACTGTGAACGGAAGTTTCACAAGAAGAGGGCTAAAGAGAATAATTTTTTAATGGCATGGTATTGCCGGTTTGAATTACGTGTGTCGTGTTAATATTCATTACATTTTTACACTAAGCCATAAAAAAGTAGAAATACGGGATCTGATTTCAGTCCCCTGTTGTATCAATGCCTATTCACTGTAAAGATCATTTCCTTAAAAATTAATCAAAACAATTCATGTACAAAACTGCATCTATAGTCTTCTACAGTAACTGGTGTTATTTGATGCGACAAGGAAGTATTTTAAACTGCGTTGAGAAATTGACATTAAATACACTATTATATATATGCACGACACAACGAAGCATATCTCTATGAAACAACATTATAAGTTCTAGGATAATGTATTGCACTGTGTTTTGTAAGTTTACTGTAAGGCACTTTTATTTATGTTTACTTTGTTATACATATGTCAGGAATGCAATGTGTACTAAATATAATGATATTGTTTTTTAACTACGTAACAGCGCTCTACGTTAATGCTTGACAAGTGTAATGGATTATATTTTGCTCGGAGGAAAAATCAGTTTAAAAAAAGTAACCATGTAACCATGTAGTTCAGTATACAAGAAGTTACATTTACTTTATTTTTATAGTTGCATGTAATATAGATAATACCTTCAGTAAATTGTAGCTTGTAATATGATTTGATTTAAAATATAGTCACTGCTTTGTTTCACTGTGAAACTTAGATTTAATTTGTTTGTCTTTTTGACCTTGATATATAAAAAGTACATGTATATTAATTTGTCATAGAAATGCTTTGATTTACTATGGTGAAGCACTTAAGGGACTATACACATCGTAAACTAATACACCCATAACTTGTTCAAAGTAATCTGGTGTTAACCACGGCGTTATTTATTTTAAGGGCCGTTACATGTGAGATACTGAGTATATCGTATAATATTCAACATAAGGTTATATTCTCTGAAAAAACTAATGTAACTTTTTTGCTGTTTTATCATTAATCGAACACATTTAATTAATACACATAATATATATAATGTATAATTTTCAAGTATTTTGATGATAGCTCAGAGATGGATTTTTTTTCTTTAAATTCTGTTGTAAATTATTTGCTAAAATTGCTAAGTTTTCCTCAAGATCAATCATTTAAAACAAATTTTCTTTGCATACTTTAAATTTGTCATTTTTTATTTCTCGAATCCTTAATATGACTCAATCTAAAAAAAGTTACATGACAATAAATGAATGAAGTCCCAGTACACTTTAAAACTGATATAATTTTTAAGCCATAAATTACATTTATGAAATCAGCAACATACATGTAAAACAAAATTGTTTAAGGTTTGTTAGTGAATTTCAAACATATTAAGTTTTGTAAAAAAAAAAAAAATGCCTTACTAACCTCAAAATCATTCCGTGGAATAACATATATCAGTTTACAATTTTTTCAAATGACATCCCTTTGTCGTTATCATTTTTTGAACAAGATTTCACAGATTATCCATAATTTGATTTACAAATAAAGTTTATGTTACATGTAATATACTATATGTTCACAAAATATACTGTAAACGTGTTACATTTGGCTATGTATTCTTTTTAGCGGCTTTGGCGGAACGCAGCAACCGCTAAATCAAATACAACGATAAATGTCTCGCATAAAACACATACATCAAAATAATATGAAGAAATGCGCTAAATCAAATCTACGCTTACTTATTTAAAAGTCATTTTCCGCCAAATAACGTACACGCTAAATATAATACATTTACAGTATATCTTTGTTATTGCATTTACTTGGATAGAGTTTTAACGTTAATATTGAAACATTTTGTTAACACGTATTTACTCTATACTCTATACATATTTCATGCAATTTGAAGTGTTTGCAGAATACTTTAAACATGGAAAATTTGAAACGATATGTTATTAATTATCCTTATCTTTTAAAGGGATAAAGATTGCAGTGCTTACTGTTTGCCTTGTACTAGGTCAGAGTAAAAAACACATTGCAAGGTAAAACAATTAAAAGCTGATGATGTTTTAAACCCCCGCTTGAAAAGTGGGAGGGTATGTTGTAATTGGTATATCCGTACTTCCGTCCGTCTGTTACGCTTTAGGCTACTCATCTCTTATTCGCCACTCCTCTTATATCTCTGAGTGAAATTTAATGAAACTTTCATAGAATCTTTATTACATATTGCCATTGTGCATCTCTTATTTTACTTTTTGATCCAACATATATTTTGGGTTTCCCGACCACAGCAAAACATAGACTTTGTCATCAGTTATATCTTTATGGGAGGCGGGGGTATCATTTAGTTCATTGCTCACAGTACCCCAAAATTTTCAAATTTTGATTTCAAAAAATTCAAGCATTCTGACGGAGTGAATCAAAATTGCTAGCGCTCAATTGCATTTGCAAATCAAAAGAAAAAATGTGTATTGCTGCTATTTTCCAAACACTTCCAGGTTAAATTTCACTTCTGTTTATGTTTGCAGTAACATCTGCCCTAGAGAAATCCTTACTTATGTATCAGAGGGAAATGCCTGTAATAGATCGTTAGAAGATTTACAAAGCAGCATAGACTATTTGGGAGGTATAATAATATTATCATTTTTTATTTCATTTCCATCCAAACAATTACATGTACATGTACATTGTACTCCCTCTTCCATTCATTTCACTTGGTTTTTGAACATTCAAAATATTCATATGAAACTTTAAAACTATGTATTATTTAGTTGATAATTTAAAGCACTTAGTGCTTTTGCTTTTATTTTTCTATAACCACACTTTCTCAAAAAAAGTTTTGGTATAATTGTCGTTCAATCTTATTAGAATTAGACCTCCCATCTCGTTCTGCAGAATTTTGTTTCCCGCTCGAAAAAGACAAATGAAATTTCAAAGAGCGAGATGAAAGGTCTTATCTGTATTTTAGTTTGATTGTGGATCGCCTATTCCGTTCATCACCACACTCGTCTTCCTCAAAATTTCATTTCATATAAACAATAACCAAATGGCCTAATATAAAAAAGATCATGTCCTGTAGATCCGATTTTGATTTGGAATTTTCGATTTTAACCCCAAGAAAGGTTTTTAGGTTACTCAGCTGAGCCAAAGCCTCAAGTGAGCTTTTTCTGATCATTTTGTCTCTCGTTGTCATTATTTTTTTACATCTTCATAAATTATTCTTCTAAAGAACCACCAGGCCAATCTTAACCACACTTACCACAAAATATTCTTGAGTTAAGGATATTGAAGTTTCCTCATATAGGTAATTTTTCGGGAAATTCAGACTTTTTAAAGAAAATTTAGTTTGATAATTTACCAAAACCGCTGATAAGCGTAAACTATTATTATCTATTGCATAAAGATAAAAGAGTGTCTTGCAGCACCACCACGGCATCACGTGACTTCTATTTATAGCCAAATTTTCCTTAATAAAAAAGCGACCAGAACAACAATACCCCGAGGTTTAATAATTTTTTTGAGTAAATAATATAGTTGGAAAACATCTATTTTGTCTAAAAAGTGCTGCTAGAATCCACAAAATAATTCCACACATTCGCGCGAAACCTTACCCTATGTTTTGAATTTTTTACCTATGAACCGAGATTTTTCGTAAAACCATGCTTAACATGGGATTTTAGCAGCACTTTCCAAGTTTTTTAGGATGCAAACTTTCCATCTGTACAAATTTTATGTTTTGAAATATACAGCTTATTGTTGTTCTGTTGCATTATTTTTGTCACAATTGACAGAGGAAAGGCGGACCGGGATACGTATATAGCTGACTGTCTTCGAAAGAGAATACAGTGTATAAACGATAAATATAAATTAGCATACCTGTTTTATTAACTAAACCCCATTTGAATTTCACAAAATATTCACGCTCTTTGCTTTTAAACTCCATTTTACGTATCTTTGTTCATGCCGTCATAGCCAAATTCTCTTTACACGACATGATCAATTCCCGATCACTTCCCAAGTTACTTGATGTACACATATGACGTCATCGGTAGAAGATTTTAATCAAAATGACAGAATACATCACAACGAAATAAGAACATTTTATTTTTATTAATGTTTACACGTATCTATTCATTTTGTAGAGTTAAATTACATCTCTAAATACCAATATTACAAAAAACTTGTGTTCTAAAATTGACGTCACCTCGCCTACTATGACGTCATAATGTAGCACTGATTTAGTCAAGGTAGAATATTTTGTATGCTTCCTTATCCCCCCTGCGTAATGAAAAATCAATGTCTTCTTTTAAGAATTTTCTTTGCAATCCGGAACACTTGGGTCATGAAAGATGAAACTCACATGGAATCATCCTCAGGCAGTGTAAATTCAATATAGTTCAAATCATGACGCCCGGGGTCAGAGCGAAACCAAAGCGTCTGATTAAAGATTTACATAGGATTACGTAGGGAAAATCTTCTCCAGAACCACTGGGCCAGGAAATATGAAACTCATGTGAAAAAATCCTCACGTAGCGTAGATTCAAGTTTGTTCAAATCATGACCCTGGGGGTAGGGCAAAGCCACAATGGTTGATCAAATGTTTACATTGTAGGAAAAATCTTGAACATTCTTCTTCTCCAGAACTACTGAGTCAGGAAAGATGAACCTCGTGTGAAAGTATCCTCAGGTAGCGTAGATTCAAGTTTGTTCAAATCATGACCTGGGGGTAGGGCGGGACAACATTGGCTGATCAAAGTTTAACATCGGAATATACAGGAAAATTTCTTAAAAGTCTTCCCCAGAAACATTTGGACCAGGAAAGAGGAAGCTCATGTGTAAGCATCTTCAAATAGTGTAGATATGTTATTTTTACAAATCATGATCGCGGGGGTAGGGCGCGGCCACAATGGCTGATCAAAGTTTAACTAAGGAATATATAATATTTTTTTAAATCTTCTTCTCCAGAACCATTGGACCATGATGGGTGAAACTCATGTAGAAGCTATCACATGTAATATAGATTCAAGTTTGTTAAAATCATGACCACCAGGGGACAGGGCGGGGCCACAATGGCTGATCAAATTAAGTTTTACATATGAATATATAGGAACAATCTTTAGAAATCTTTTTCTCCAATTAATCGGATAAGTAAATATAAAAAATAAAGTAGGTCAAGTTTGTTGAAATCATGATTCCTGAGGATAGGGCAGGACCACAACGCCTGATTAGAGTTTTACATAGGAAAACATCTTTTTAAAATCTTCACAAGATTAGCAAAGCTATGTTTGGTGATATATTAAAACATCTTCAGTCCTCAGTCAATAAGATAATGTAATTCAAGATTGTTTATATCATGACCCCTGAGGTAAGGTGTGGCCATGATTGGCAATCACATCTTGGCATAGAAAAATATAGGAAAATATTTCCTTTTTAAGCGGTTAGCTTCGCTAGCCGCTTTATGGCATGTGTCGACACCGGAAACTTCCATAAGGCGCTACCTATCGACAACGGAAACTTCAACAATGCCTCTGCCTAGTACATATGATTTGTTTCTTACACATATAACATATGTTAAATAAAATCAAGACTTTCAAAACAGCATAATCTTTTGGTTTTTAATTTTTTTTCTGATTTTGTTTGTCAATGAAATAAATTTATAATTGTTGCATTAGAAAAGTTTATGTATAGAAGCATTTGTGTCGAGATTAAATTTCCGTGACATCAGCTGATGGAGATCGGGCCCTGTGACGAAATTCGAAGTCAGCATGAAGTTAAGCTAACAACATTATCAACGCGTTAGATTTAAACTTTGGGAAGAAATGTATAGCGAGAAATATATTTGAATCTACTGCTGCAAGAAAACCAGTAGTCATTTCCGATTTATGTGTTAAATTGAAGCCTGAATCGAACAGGGGGTCAAACTGGCGTTGGACACCTTGTGTATTTATATATAGAGGGGGTAGAATGTTTCGATATTTGGCTAATTTAGAGACTTACTGATAAAAATTCAGGTGCCTGTGATTAATTATAAGGCTACTCTCATGAACAATAAATATTTGACCGAATTATGCTACTGGGCACAGGGAGGACGGGTTAATTACTGGGTAAAGGGTTGAAGGTTATTACCAACTGCAAAACATCGGAGAATCTCTCAATCGAGTTTCATTTTTCAATGACAATGACAATAACAATGACAATGACAATGATTTATTCTCATAAATGTACAAACATACATTGTAGAGAGGAGGTAGGAAAATTTACAAACACAATACAAAAAAAAAAATGTAATACATGCATTATAAACAGTACAAAGTATCATGTTCAGGTTCATGTCAATTATTTTCATCTATAATTTGTTTGACAATCAATAAAAATTTACATAATTTTTTCAATGCTGAACAATTTGTTGTTGTAAAAAGTAGTTTAAATTTCTCTATATTTGGTCTACATGTGAAAGAGTTTGAAATATATTTTATTCTAGCCTCTTTAATTTCTTTTTGTGTGCATTCAAAGACATAATGGAATTCATCACCAATCTTATGAAAATCACATAAAGTACAAATTCTTTGTTCTCTTGGAATACCAAACCATCTCCCAGTTTCAATAAGGAGTTTAAAGTTGCTACATCTAAATTTGCATAACAAAATTGAAAATTTTCTAGGTAGATTAACGAGATATCTTTCTGGTTCTAGTATTTCTTTATAAATACGATAATTTAACCCTTTGATGAGTTAAGAACATTACTTTGCCAGTTTTGGATATTTTGGTCAACAAGTATTCTTTTTACTTCATTTTTTACCCATGCCACATTGTACATTTGTTGTGTTGTCCATAAATAAGATAATCCACAATCATCTAAAATATTTTTAACATAGTCAACCCAAGGCAAATTATGCCTTGAAGCTAGAACATACATTTTTGTAGCAAATTTATCCATCGTTTGAGAAAAATGTAGTTTTGCCCAAAAAGAAATCATTCTCACCTTAATATTAATGATAAGTGGGAATCTGCCAAGTTCCCCATACACCATATATACTAGTCAAAATTTCTAACGCCCCAGATGATATTTTTAAAACCATTACCTTTAAACGCTATTATGTTGACTTAACCTTTATGTAAGATGAAGGAAAAATAAATAAACAAAAAATTTTCATTTTATTCCATCAAAATTTATTGCTAAGCTTGATGAAAATTAAGTTCCGGTATAGGTACCCTGCAGTTCAAAATTCTCAACATTCAGTACCGAGTATGTCCCCCATTTGCACGAATGACAGCAAGACATGTGCTTCTCATAGAGTTCACATAATTGTGCAGAAATCTTTGAGGGAGGTTATTCCATGTGTTAACAAGATCCCTCTCCAGTACCGCCAAATTCTGCTGCTGGGGAAACTGTCTTATCCTTCTGTCTAGCTCGTCCCACACATGTTCAATAGGATTGAGATCCGGACTACATGGGGGCCAGTCGAATAAACGGATGTGGCGCCTTGCCCAAGCCAAACGGAGCTGCCTGTGCCTGTCCGACAAAACTAAGCCTACATATGGTCTCCTGGCACGCAATCCACCATCCCTTAGTCTATTGCGCACAGTTTGGTCACTCAGAGGTCTGCCATGCGTTCCCATTGTTTG